AATGCAAGAAAGCACTTGGTCAGGGAGGTCTTTAACAGGTAGCCTGGCCCAGGCATGGTGGTGCACGCCTGTAATCCCAGCACTCAGGAAGCTGAGGCAGGAGAATCATTGGAAGTTCGAGACTAGCCTGGGCTACAAAGTGAGCTCAAGGCCAGCCTGAACTGCATAGCGAGACCCTGTCTCAAAAGACAAAAAAAAAAAGGCAGATAGCCTGAGACTCCTCTACCTACCCTGTCTCCTTTACCCTGAGGAAACAATCCAGAGGACCTGAGGATCTGCCTCCACTTAAGAACAAGCCAGGGATATAAGGCCAGATACTCATCCTGGGAAGCAAACAGCACTGCCATCTGGCTATAGGAGACCTCACTAAGAAGCAAAGCATTTGATCTCACTCTGAAGGCAGTGGAAGAGCTGCAGGAGGGTTTTTGTTTCTATTTTTGTTTTTGCAGAAGTGGGGATTAAATTCAGGGCTTTTACACTGAGCTACATTCCCAGCCCTTTTTTTCTTTATTTTAAAGTGGGATCTTGCTGAGTCACTCAATTACTGAAACTTGTGATGATCCTGCCTCAGCCTCCCAGAGTGCTAGGATTGCAGGTGCCACCATGCTGGACAAGAAGGTTCTTGAGCAGGGAGCAAAGCCACCCTGGCTTCTTATTCATCCCAAATCCCTGAGCATGGAGCTCTGCAAAAATCCTAGCAGTTGAGACAGGCTAAAAAGAACCTAGGCAGGGTTTCTGAGTGCATTTGGTCTTTGGAGTCCACCAAGCAAGGGTCTTGGGTGCAGAACAGAAATGTCTCGCCTGCAGCAGGTGGCCCTGGATGGAGAAGGGAGGGCACACCCAAGCCCTTCTCTCCACATGCGCTGCAGTCAGCCCTCTAGTTTTGCTCCCCTGCAACTTGCTGATGGGCCCATCCGGAGGTGAGGCTTAGAGAAGAGAAACAGCACGCGGAGGAGCTGACCAGAGTCCCCAGCACCTACCCCTCATTTCCCCTCCCACCTGAAGTTGGGCTATAAGTGACCTGGCCCAGGGTGTGTGTCCTTAGCTAGTGGCAGGCTGTGGGTTCTTCCCAGCAGATCTCTTCCAGCTCATGGCTTGTCCGGGGATGGGTTGTTGCTCCCTCAGGTACCGGCATGACAGCTCAACAGCAGTGGCTGGCGGCCCCCGGGGTCATGGACAGAGCCGGGAGACAACACAGGAACGCCGGAAGAAGGAAGCGAGCAAAGCAACAAGAGCCAACCACAACCGGAGAACCATGGCTGACCGCAAGAGAAGCAAAGGCATGATCCCTTCCTGAAGCCTCCTGTCCAGCTGGCCCTTTGGGACCCCCAACTTCAACTTGACCCCTCGACAGCCTCAGCTTTGCAACCCCTGAGAGGTTGCCTCGTTGCCTACCAGCCATCCAGGAGCACCGTCTTGTAGAACACACAGTGCCTTATCCCTTGGCAGAGGAGCCCGGGTGTCATCGAGGAACCTCCTCCTCCTCATGCGCTGTGGGAAAGGACAGGGGACTGAGTCCCAAGACAAGGCCCCAGACCTCGGGTACCAGACACCACTTCCCTTTACCCCTGGATGGCAGGAAACCTGCGTGTTCGGAAACAACACAAGGCCTGCAAATAAAGTTTCCGACCCTTTCCAGCAACCATCTGTGACGTGCTGTGACCCAGTCCTGTGTCTCATTCTTCAGTAACAGCTGCCAGCTGGAGGACAAGAGGGCAGGGTGGTCCCTGTGCGGTCTGTATTGAACTTTCTTCCCTGCCTGTCCATTAACCCCTCCTTGCGTTGTTCTGCCTTGCTGTGTGACCGTGGGCACACCAGACCCTTCTCTGAGCCCCCAGTTGCTGCCTATGGAAGGAACCAGCTGGAGGGTGAGAGGTCCTATGGCCCTTGCCGTTGTCTCATTCAGTCCTGACGACCTCTGCCCTAGGAGGTAGATACTGTTTTCAGCCCCATAGTACAGATGAGCAAAGTGAGGCACTGAGGACTGGGGTATCCGCCCAGGCCACAGCCAGGAGCTGGCAGAATTGGGATTGGACAGAGTGTCACCTGGGACCTTTATGGGTCCTAGACCCCTGTATATGATATTATCTCCATCTCAGAGCTGGCCCAAGGACATGTGGCCAGTGGTAGAGCCAATACCAGAATTCAGTGCCTCATGGTTGTACATACACTTTATTAAACCCTCCAAAATCCAGTGACTAAGAAACAAGCAAGGATGCCCAGCTGAAGCTCATGGGAGTTGGGCTGGTTCCTCAAAGCTCTCTTCCAGGTGTGGCCAGCCAGTTCCCGGTGTGGCAGTGGCTGCCAGGCCTCCCAGAGCGTCACCGATCAACACAGATCAAAGACGGCATGTGCTGGGCTGATCTTAGCCCGGCCTGGCCTGGAGCCCACTAGTGGAAGCCAGGGCCCACATGACGAATCACCCTGGGTGCTAGTGCTATTTATTTGCACGTAGTTAGGATAAGCGTGTGAGGCAGAGGCAGACAGGCGCTTGATGGATTGGTTTTGTTAGGTCAGCCCGCACAAGTGAAAATCAATAGCAATCCCTCTGCGTCTCTCGCTCCTCCTGGTGTGTTTCAGATGCAGAGCAGATATGGGGGTGGTGTCCTCCCTGTCAGCTGCAAAATTAGCTGAGGCCAGCGCCAGGGCCAGCCATCCTGACAGGCAATGCGAAGACTCTGTTTCCTCCCAGAGGCATTTGCCAGTGACCAAGCCCCTCAGTCCCAGCTCTCGTCCGCGGCATGAGGCGAGGGCCTTGGGAGCTACGGGCTTTGCCTGCCTTACCTGCTCACACAGCTCTTTGCACCTTCGCTTTGTCACCTGTGCCTCCAGCCACTTGGAAGAGTGTTCAGGTTTCCCAGGAGCCTCCTGTCTTAAAGGATCTGAAAAGACCATTTTTCAAAAAGTAGTGCCAAGTCAAACTTAGTCTCCCTTGAGGAGCTGCTGCTTTCTGCTTCCAGAGCTCAAGGGCACCCATTCAGGATGCTTTGGAAACAGCTCGGAGGCCATCTGCAGTGGTGCCCACAGGCACCCCTCCCCACTCAGGCCCTCAGTATTCCCATCTGTAAAGTGAGTATGTTGGACCAGACAGATGCGTTCCTCTTGGTGCCAGTGAAATCATGGGAGGAGATTCCCAAGTTTAAGATGGGCGGCTGCAGCATGTTAGGAGTAGGGTCGGTGGGGGCCCTGCCCCTGCCCGCTCTGTCTCTGAGCGCCACCACCCTCACTGCTGCTCCTATGCAGGTATCCTCTAAGTGCCTTCTCTGTGCCCTGGCAGAGAACGTGATTATCATGGGTGTTTCCTGGGAAGACTTTAAGATCTTGTGCCTCGGAGAGGACTTGGGACCCAGGTGTCTCCATCCGAAGTCCCACAGTGGTGGGGAATGTGTGCGTTGGAACAGAGATTCTGTGCTACTTCAGCTAGAACTGAGTACTGTTTTTTAAAAGGGGCCCAGGAGCCCTTTGAGGAGGCCTGAGCAGGTCATCTGTCTAGAGCTGGTGGCACATGAGCGGCAGAGCCTGCGTGCACGTCCTTTGTGAGATGCCTCTTAAAAACAGCCAGGTGCAGCCCGGAGGAGGAAACGGTTGGCCAGAGCCTACATGTTGCTCTCACACCAGGAGCTTGGGGAAAATGGGATAGGGAGGGAAAGAAAAAACAAATAAAGGTCAAGGGCCATTATGCAGCCTTTCAAAATGGCATCAATAAAGACTTGGTAGCAACATGACAAGCTAACTTTGCTTTTCTTAAAGAATAAATTTAAAAGCAGAATACATAATGGTATGATGCATCATGATTGTAAAAATGTAAAAAAAAAATTTCTTTTTTTACATACCGGCCAAATCTGGAAAGGAATGTAGGTAAATGAAAATGATAGCAAGAGTGTGGGTGATGGTGGTGAGACCACGGGGATTTGTAATAATAAAAGCATTGCTGAGTACCTGCCATGTCCGAGTTTGTGCTGGGCTCTTTCATCCTTCTGTTTAATCCTGCAAGGTAGGGACAGGTGAGAAAACCAAGGTACAGGGGAAGTTGGGTAACCAACCCAAGAGCACACAGCAAGTGACCCAGGGAAGATTTAATTCCAGGATTGTCTCCTGCAGCCCCACTTTATTTTTTTTAATGGTACTTAGGTCTGAACTGAGGGCTTTCACATGGAACTACATCCCCAGCCCTATTTTTATTTATTTTTATTTTGAGACAGGGTCTCACTGAGTTACTAAGTTCCCCAGGCTGGGCTTGAATTTATAGTCCTCCTGCTTCAGCTTCCCAGAGTGCTGCGATCACAGGCCTGCCCTACCACACCCAGCTAAAGCCCCACACTTAATTCCTATGTCCAGTCCCTGCCGTTCTTCTCTGTCCCTGACCCCATACATAAAATGAAAGAGGAAAGTAGCTGAACAAGAAGATCCAGGCCATGCTGACGACTCCCAACTACATGCATATCAGACTATTTTATATTGCCCAGCACATCTCTGACAGTTTCTTCTATTTTCTTCATTTTTTTTTTCTGTTTTCATAATCATGTCTCCTTTCTTCCATTTATCTAGTCTGCTTGTAAGCACACTGAATGACGCTTCATCTTTATGTCCAATCCCTCTTCAGGAAAATAGGGAGCGGGTTAGGGCATCTTCAGCTGAGTTGGTGACAGCAGAGCCCGAGGGGCACTGGGGTCTGGGACAGGGCCTCCGTGTTAGGAACACACACAGACCGGGCCTGGTGCAGGTGTCGGTCCAGAACACCTGAGCCATCCAAGTTTGCTACCTGGCCCTGGCTCGGGCCACAGGGTCAGCTGGCGGGGAGGGCCAAGGAAAGGTGAACAAGGGCTCCTGTTCAGTGCATATTCACTAAAGACCTGCTAGGTGCCAGGCTCGTATAAGAAAGCCCAGCTTCTGCCCTCCTAGAGTTCACAGTGTGAGGGGTACATGGACATTAACTCAGACATTTTAGAAAAATAACTAGGAATAACTGTTCTCAGTCCTAATAAGTAAATGAATGAAACTTTTAATTAGTGAGTAGGAAGGAAAATAGTCAAGGGCAAACAGAAAGAGGCCAAGAGCAAAGACTTTCCAGAAGCAGAGAGCGGTCACAGTGTCAGGCAGCAGCCACGGGGTCACAAGGCAGGGGCGGCGAGCCCCACAGGGGCTATGCGCAGGCTTTGCTGGAAGTCGTGGGGTGCAGCCAGTGGGGAGAATCAGAGAGGAAGAAGGGGAGAAGGTGGGAGAATCAACCCTTCTCGAGCTTGGCATTGAAGAGGAAGAAGAGAAAGCTCAGAGGTGGGGAGGAAGTGTGGCCCCCAAGCGCGTTTATGGGATGGCTGGAAGGAGCCAGAGCTCCAGGGAACCCAGGGGGGTGGGGTAGGACCCTGCACAGGCTCCCAGGCCAGCCCTGGCCTCTGGTTTTATGTGGATCCCGGTGTGCTGGCGCAGCAAGGGAGGGGCCTTGATTCTGGCCCAAGGCTGCTGTTGCAGTTCGGCAGCTTGAACCACGGTTTAAAAATTCAAACTGTCTCAAAGTTACGCCCTGTGTGTTTATGAGATAAGGTGGTGGGGATGGTCCTCGAAACTGGTGTGGTGGTGCATACCCGTAATTGCTGAGGATTAAAGGCTGAGGTGGAAGGATTGCTGTGAGTTCAAGGCCAGCCTGCACTGCATAGCGAGACCCTGTCTCAAAAAAAAAAATAATAATTTTTTAAAAAGGCATGAAATTCTGACTTTACATCGTTCAGAAAATTCCCCAACAATCAATAACCCATCAGTAGAATTTTACACAGACCGACAGAACTTGGAGAAACTAAAAAGGCATTTAGGCCAGGTTTTCTTGACTATTCAAAGACCCAGCCAGCCGCCTGCTCAGGCCCTGGCATTTCAGACACCCTGTCTGCATGTGGGGAGGAGGCGCTCTGTCCTGCTTAAGAATTCACTGAGCTTCTGTGGGTCTCTCCCAGCCTCAGGGGCTTCATCCAGCTTTCTTTGCTGTCGTCTGAATTACAAAAACAACAGGTATTAAATTCTGGCTTTCCAAGTAGGACATTATGACAGTAAGTCTGCTTTCCCTGGCTGCAGGAGTGGCGGCCCCGCCCCCACCCAGCGCTCTCACACGTCCCTAAGTGCTCTGCTGTCCCAAGGAAGTAATTACAGGTTTCTCCCCCTAGAAGTGGTTTTCACTGAAGAGCCAGGCAGAAAACCAGCCCCCAGTGGGCCGAGCACAATTATTGCTGTAAATTTAGGAATGTTCTTCGCAGCGCTTTATACACAGGCTCCCAGCCTACCTCCCATCTCACTCTCTTGACTTGCTCAGCATTCTTTCACACACAGATTCCCAGGTCTCAGCTGCCTGTTCTTTTTATTGTTCATTTGCTCATAAAAATGTCCTGGGATAGTGAAAAGTGCACTAGATGAAGAATCAGAAGGCTGGAGTCCAGGACCCAAATTTCAATTAGCTTTGTGACCTTGGATGGGTTACTTGACCTCTTGGTGCAGCCGTTCCTTTTTGTGGGAAATGGGAATGATCATCGCGTCTTGCCTCGTGGGCGCAGGTAGTTATGAGGTCAGATGAGGCCATGATGGTGACAGTGATGGGGGGTAGTGGCAAACCAAAAGCAGCAAACCACGTTCAAATGGGAGAGACGAAAATTCCTCTGACGGGCAACCCTGTCTACACTGCATTTCTGGTAGTTTCTGCTTTTTTTTTCCTGCAGTGCCAGAGATTTGACCCAGGGTGTTGTGGGTGCTAGACACCTGCTCTACCATTGAGCACATCCCCTCGTCCTTTTTTTAATTTAGTTTTTTATTTTAAAAGAGTCGTGTGCCGGGGATCTAGCTCAGTGGCACAAGCACTTGCCTGGCAAGCGGAAGGTCCTGAGTTTGATTCCCGGTACAAAAATAAATAAATAAAAAAATGAAAGAGTCGTGCTAAGTTGCCTGGACAGGGCTTGAACTCGTGACCCTCCTATCTCAGCCTCCTGAGCAGCTAAGGTACAGTTGTATGCTCCTTTAACTGCCTACCAAGAAACTCTGCACAAATCACCTGCCATTCTAGGGAATGTGTTCCTGAGCAGAATTCTGGACTCCATGGGCTATGAATGGACTGTTTTGAGTTGCCTCTACCTGGATTTTGGCTGATGGTTTTTTGTTTTGTTTTGCTTTTTTGAGACAGGGTCTTGCTATGGAGATCAGGCTGGCCATGAACTCACTATGTAGCCCAGGCTGGCCTCGAACTTGCAGTGATCCTCCTTCCTCAGCCTCCTGAGTGCTGGGGTTACAGGTGTGCGCCTCCATGTCTGGTCCTGGCCGGTGGTTCTTGCTGAAGGACAGAATCATAGGATGGCTTGGACTCCAAGGCTTTTGCTTTCATGGTCAAGTCCTGCCATGAAATAGCCTCTTAGGCTGCTATCTGGGGCAACCTGGGGACAGCCTTAGAGAGAGGCCCTTGGATGGGAGCTTGTTAAGAAGAAAGCAAGGGCGCTGCCTGCAGCACTCTGCCAGGTTCCCCAGGTGCCACTGACAAACCCAGAGGGTAGACCCAGCCTCTGGCCAGATGGCCTCTGTCAGCTGTGACACATAAGAACCAGTTCCATGAGCAGTGGAAGGGGAGGTGGCTTGTCACACCTGCAAAGCCATACTCTCCTGCCCAGGAGGGGTCTGCACAGAAAGGCATTTGTCTCTCCTCCACAGAGTATTAACTCAAAGTTGGAGGTAAAGGTCTTGGGCCTTTTTTTTTTTTAATCTGGGTTCCCTGGATGACTTGTGGCTTCTTAGGCTTTTGCCTAAGAAGCAAGGGCTGGCTCTGGGGTCAGAACCCCACTGGGCTCAGCTGTTCCCTGGCTCTGGGGTATTTTGAGTAAAGTTGCCTTCCCTTTCAGAACCCTAGCCATCTTAGCTATAAGCAGAGATGTTGGCAAGATGGCTGGGATGAGGCATGCGTAGACTTAGCTCCCCATGAGGTGGGCAGGGAACTACTCACAGGGACCCAGATGAGGGGTGGCTGGTGCCTCCTGCCAATGCTCCCACTCGTGGGTGCTCTTTCTGTGCACCCACCCTGCACTGCCTTGACATTGCTGCCCTCGCTCCTCCAAGACTGTCCTCCCAGAAGCCTCTGGGCTCCAGATGGCCTGGACACATAGGCTCGGGCAGACGAGAGGCGGGCCTGTCTGAGAGGTAGGAGGTGTGTGGAAGACGACCTGGGAACCGAAGTGAAGAGCCCCATGCAGCCTTGTAGGACTGGAAATTCCCGCAGTGAATCCTCAGAATGAAGCCGGGGAATAGGTGTGATGACAAGCTTCACAGAGTTCAGTCACCTACTTGTAGTTGAGGCCAAACCCCAGATTTGCCAGCCTCCAGAGCCCATGCTCTCACCACCTTCCTGTCCTGCCTCCCTAGAGCTTGGCACTGGGACTAGAAATCACAATCCTGCACACGTGGTTGGCTTAGTATGGAAAGGAGGGCTTATCATCTCTTAGACTTCTACCACTGCGATCTGTAATTCCAGTCACTCCACTGACCGAGAGGCAGAGCAGAGAAGGGGAAGCAGGAAGCTGGCCGGAATATATTTCCCTAATTCACACTTCGCCACAGCCTCCCCATCAGTGGAGGGGAAGGACGCCCCTCGGGGGCCCGATTTGAAGGAAGTGTTTCACGAGGAAAGCTTAGCGAGGTGAGGAAAGGAGCCGTCCGTCGGACTTGCAGCCCAAGCGCAGGTCACTGTTGGAGGCTTGCACAAGACAGAGACAGAAATCTGCCCAGACATCAGGGACAGAGGGAAGCGAAGAGGACTCAGTTGCGCAGGGAAAGGTGTGGAGAGGAGATAAGAGCTGCCCGAAGAGGCCACTGGGCCGCCGGGGTTTAACACTGTCAGAGACACCGACTGCGCGATTGCCAAGGGACGCAAAGGGAACAGGAGAGCGTGATCCGGCCTCAGAGGGCTGGAAAGGAAGCCGGGACGAG